AGCAGGTCCTTACAGGAGAAGTGCTTATCATCTGGAGCCTCCACATTGCTCAATGGCAGACCCAGAGTAAAGAATTTCTGATGATTAGTTTGGCAGAGATCCAGGAATTGACAAGCCTGCAGTTGCTTGGATGAGAGATCTGAATTTCCTGCTTAGTGGCAAAGGATGCCAGGAGGAAGTTCTGTGAGAATAACAAAATCTTGCTCTCAAGATAGAGTGCTGAAGGATTTCATCCTCAATAGATTCTTTTAGCTTACATGAATATGTGATGCCAAGAACAGAGAGGGATATTCCCCTGTCATGTATCAGATCTCAGATATTTTGGTCTTGAACACACATGTTGTGGGCTGAATCACAGTCTGAGGTATATGTAGTAGTGTGTGATCTCTCTCCATGCAGTTAAGAAGCATGGATAGGTGGTGGCTTGCGGGAGATATTTGGTTCTTGTGTTTCTGTTCAATATATTTTCAGCTAAGCAGTATGGACTACATTGTCAGATATAAGGTGAAACTGCCCTCAATTTCTTCTTGACTGGGAAAGCTTATGCATTCCAGGGTTAGTGAGACTGCAGCAAGGACTAAGCTGTATGTCTAGTGATGGTGGTTGGGAGCAGGGACATAGGTGAGGAGACCAGCCTGAAAACAGCTTTCTTGATCTTTCAGGAATTCACTGTGTCTCTAGAATGCCCTCTTTCTCTGGGTTCTGTTTAGGACTAAGCATGGTTTCTCCTTTCCTTGTTGTATAAACTCTGCAAGTTTACTTGTGTTTATCTACCTTAAGGGTCCGTTGGGAAAGAATCATCCCAAGACTACACCATGAGTAAGCAAGAGCAGAGAATGAAGAGGTTGGAGAAGCTCAAAAGGGATCTTGAGATGATGAACAAGGAGAGAGACGAACTCCGGGGAATCCTGGCACATTATACTAACAGGGATTTGAATGACAGGTAGTCATTATGCCCAGTTTTCGGCTGACTATCTTGGGTCCTCTCTGTTGGTCCCAGATTTCTCATGTCATAGGAGGCTACAACTCCAGGCTGTCCTCAAGTCCAAATTCACTTTGCTGTTAGGATTTCAGACACAGACCTTGAAGTTCACATAGGAGAGAGATGGGGTCAAAGGCTATTTTGATTCCTACTAAAGTAAATCAGAGTCCTTGCAATGAATCCCACTCTGGAAATAATAGTAGTAATGGGTGAGCTCTCATCATACATTTTTAGAAGCCTGGACTGGTGTTGCTTTGTGGGAGATGCTATCTGCTCTCCTTTTATGGACAATCATTTTTGTAATTTCCTAGAGATGCTTTGGGTTCATTTAGTCCTGTCAATAGCTGGAAGGACCTGGTTCTGCATGCTGCCTATCAGTGTGACTGGATTTGCTGAAAGTCATCATGCTTTTCTCAATTTCTGTTCATTATATTCTGAGATAATGCCACATCACTGTATTTATTTGATATTATGATTGTCTGTGTCCGTGTGTGTGTCTGTGTTTCACTTAAGATCCAGGGAGTCTGTGTAGAGTGATGGGGCCTGAGGATTTACCTGACTCACTTTTCAGGTAATGAGAGTGATGAGGCCATGGAGACTCACTTGAAGCAGCACAACACATGACCTCTGTGCTCACCTCTGATAGTCATTGGAAACTCCTGATACTTATAATAAACCCTTTTCCTTGTAAATAGTGATTATGTCCTTTGGGAATTTAGGTAGCAATACAACCAAGGATAGAGAAAACCTTATTTAGAAACAGAAAAAGAGCCATCCCAGATTAAAGTTGGACCCAGGACTGTGACACAGGCTCTTGGACAGTTTTTAAAGACCTAATCTATTTTTTAAAGCCCCCTCTGGGAGCTAAAGTAGGTCAGCTCCCTTCTTTTAGTTCCATAACTCTACTGAACTCAGACTAAGATTATCAAGTTTAATAAGCACCAAGAGGACCCAGTTGAAAGGAGCCAGGATGTGGCATGTATGGGTTCGGGTAGTCCATGAGTCAAGTTGAATTTATGTAATGCTTGAAACCTCAGTTCAGAGGATTATATGCTCCTTGTGCCATTCCCTCCCACAGGACAAACTTTGAGAACATGATGCTTGAGATGCAACACCACCAGGTAATGAGCGATCTCAAGAAAATTCCTCAGGAGATCAGTGAGGCCTTGTACAAGTGCAAGGAGCTGTCTAAAGAAAATCAACTTTATTGGTGAGTGACTATCAGTGTCATTAACCGAGCACTAGGCACAGAATATATCTGTCAATCATTAACTTTCAAACAAAGTAAGGGGCTGGTTCTATACTGTTTGACTTTCAACAGGAAGCTTGCCTCCCTCAAAGAAAGGCTCTAGGTTTTTTACCTCTTGGACTGTGAGGCCCTGGAATCATTCTCCTTCCCAACTCAGTATCCTCTGGATAGAAAAGGTGTGCACCTTAATGGAGATATCAGTCAACCTTGAGTCTCTGGGCCCTGAAAACAGATTTATAGATCTGGTTTGCATGAGACACATAGAACTATTGTATATTTGTTGAGTCTGATCTCCTCTTCTAGATAAGATTTGCCCTCTCTCTATCTACAGGTGGTTTTCTAATACCTGGACATATAGACAATCGTGGGGCCTATGTACTCTTCTGCTAGATATATGAGACCCTGTTGGTGTCACGGTTTTCAGAAGTACTTTGAGTCTTCTGGAATGTTACTCTCTTCTCAATTTGATCTTCTTATATGTGATGTTCTATGGCTGCTCTGGTCTGTAGTCTGCGTCTGTCTGGTGACCAGGGCCCATGGTGAGAAGGGATGGTACTTGGAGAAGTGGGAGGAAGATGGATGCTGCCTGCAAATCACCATTTCTTCTTTGCGATTCAGCATCAGGAACTGTCAGCTCCTGGCAGAGTCTCTTCATACAAAGAATCAAGTAAAAATTCTGTGGAACGAGAACAGGTAGCTGCTAAGAGAGCAGATTGCACTGGAAGAGTGTCCTAAGAAAACAAAGAGGCTATGTGTGGAGGCCAGCTTGAAGATATATGACAAGTATACCAAACAGCAGCAGCAGCAGGTAGGATGCATGAAGCATCAGGGGCAGTTTGTGGACTCATGTCTAACCATAAACACAGCCAAGCCCAGATAACCATCATCTACCTTGTCCAGACACTCTCCTATGTCTTACCCAGTTTTTCATTTCTGTGATCATTTACAAGACTTTCTGTGTAGTTAGCCTCTTTCAAGAAACTGGATGATTGGCAAGCAATCCCTCCTACTCAGCTCCAAGCTGCAGTTCATTAAGATATGTTGAAAACACATTACACCTCTACATGCCTTTATGCTAGAGGGGTTCTATATGGGTGCCTCCGATGTAGTAGCACAGAACATTGAGTGATATAGTCAGGGCCTGTAACTCACTTGCTTTGGATCCATGGTTCCAGCTGCATATGTTATGGAGGATGGCCTTGTCAGACATAGGTGGGAGAGGAGGTCCTTGGTCCCATGAAGGCTGGATGCTCCAGTTGGGGGAATTCAAGGGCAGGGTGGTGAGTGGGGGTAAATCCTCATTGAAAGAGGAGGAGGTTGGATGGAATAGAGGATTTCTTGGTGGGAGGATGAAGAACGGTGATAACATCTGAAATATAATAAAATATCCAATAAAAAGATTATTTTAAAAAAAGAAGTGGGGTGGGGGCTTGTATCTTTTCTCTCTCTCTTCCCCTGAATTGCAAAATTGTCTCTTCCCACTGACTAGACCTTGATTCACACTGACAGAGCCTGAGGAACAGCTTGTCAGTCCTGGTTTCTGTCAGTGTTGCTAGGGTTCTTTCCTGGAGTTTATATTCAGGAGCTTACTGGATGAACAGGGATGTGTGAAAGGCTTCTCGTAGGCTGAGGGTTGGGTTGAGAGATGTGAGGCGCCAAGAGAAAAATTTCCAGAACTCTCTCAACCTAGTCTGCAGAAGAAGTTACTCACTAAGTATTTTTAGTTCCCAAGGGATGGAGAGCAGAATCCTGGGTCACACTTGAAACATCAGCTTTTCTACATTCAATGATTCCTCCAGCATTGATGTCTCCTTATTGTTTCCTGCTCACTTATGATTTCTGGTGTGTGTGTGTGGAGGGGCATATGCATGTCTGTGCCAATATGTATACTGATGGGTGTGCTGAGAGGCCACTTAATTACATATGATTTTGATAAGTCTTTCTGCAACATAGCCCAGGTCTCTCACTGAGTCTGAACCTTCCTGTATTGGTTAAACTGTCTGATCATCACCTTTGAATGTTCTGTCACCTTCCATCTAGAGCTCCTGAAATTATTAGGTCGCTGATAATTTTTACAAGGTTTAATTACTCATAGAGAGGAAGAACATTTTTACATATTTCATTGTTTTGGGTTTTGTTGTTGCTTCTGTAAGAAAACAATTCATTATCATGGAAGAAGTCAATGCTATATTTGGCAGTTGTCAGGCACACAACTTGGGCCACTGAGCGTTGTCATGAGCTTTCTTGTCATTTGGCTGAAATCGGCAGAAAAGTGAGGAGGGTACTGGTGTGCCAGGATGGGTCTTACCCAAGAAACCTAGGCTCCATGTAACCCACAAGTGAGTTTTTCAATCCAATAACACTTTACAAACCAACAGAACCTATGTTGCCAACACTTACATGTGAATAATCTCATATTTAGCCCAACCCACCCTTTCCAAATCTTACCATGTGACTTCAGAATCCCCTTCCCAGTCCCTCTCTCTCTCCTTACCTAAAGTTTCCTAAACCTGGGTTTGGAGGCACACCCATGTGAGGAACAACTGAGAATCAGACATGGTACTCTTGGAACCAGAGCAGGATATGGGTCAGAAAGTGGTGCTCAACAACTGCTAGCTGCACTCATGAGACAAAAGGTGGCTCCAAGGTAGTCCTGTCCAAAAGAACTTTAGGGACTTGAATACCAGCCTCTCTATTCTAAGGTCTGAGTGTGAGGCTCTTAGAGGGAAAGGGGTAGGAGTCCAGACACCCAAGATTCACAGAAAGGATGGTTCATGACCTGTTGTGCATGTGGTGGGTGTGTTAGAGTGACTACCAAGGTCACCTCACCTGGCTTCTCATGAGTGGACATCTGCTGCTCCTCTGAATCCAGTGTCTCCAGAGACCAAACTTCTTCCCAAAGCTACATGTCTGTGTCCGAACTTAGCCCTAGGGCAGAAGTAGCTGCAGCAGCAACTCAAACCCTGGGGTCAGGGGAACAGGCACCCAGGCCAGAAATGAGCTTCCTAACCACTTCTGCTCATGCCTCTCCATCTCCTCCACCTGCTAAGGCTAAGGAAACATCAAACACAGCAACCTGTCATCATGCTGCTCTACCTAGCTCAATAGAACAAAAGGAGACAGATAATGCTGTGAAGTCAGATTGTCAGCCATTGGTAGAGGAAAACTATTTATCACTATTGAAACTGTATATAGAGAGAAAACTGTGAACCCATAATGAAATCATTTTTAGGAAAACAAAACACTGTTGTACATGGAGGTGAGTAGAAGGCTGCTGTGTCATATCCATGTGCCTGAGAGTCAACAAGGCTGGCTAAGGGTCTGTGTCCCTTCTCTGCTCTTGGTGGATAGTGACTGCCCGCAGGAGGATCGTTGCATCTTCTCAGCATCCTAGTTTGCCTTTCTAATTACCCCTTACCATTTTCTTTCTAACTCTGCCTTAGTTTGTCTCAGTTATCCTTGGCCTTGGAGTTTGTCCTGGGTATTACTATTTGAGAGACTGAGTTGCTTGGTGTTGCATCTGCATCTAGCAGGAGGCCTATACCTATGGTGAGGTGCTAGACCAGGTCTGGCACAGACACCCCTTTAGGGTCCTGATAGTCTAAAGCACTCACCCTGTGTTCTGTCTGTAGCACTCTTTAAAGTCTGTCATTCAAAAATGATTTGCTTTGAGTTAAAATCATCCTCAAGGAGGGTTGGTGAAAACGAGAAACTTTACATTTTGCTGATGGTGTAAAATGGGGTAAGCCTCTGAGAAGCCATGTACAACTTTTCAGAAAGTTAAACTGTCGTCCCTGTTTACCCAGTGACTCCAGAACAGGAAGTAGGTTTCCACAGAAAAATTAGGGCAAATCACGGTTGTAGTGGTACTTCACAGAACTGCCCTGAAGTAGAAACTATACAGATGTCTTTCAGTCAAGGAGTGAACAAGTATACTGTAGGTCCAGCCCTTCCATGGACTTTTGCCTAGGGTGATAATACATGCCACCATTTTGTCTTGAAGTAGCCAGACTTATTTTCCTCAAAATATCCCTGACAGAATCTCCTTACATGGAGGAAAGTCTCACATTGCATCCTGCTTATAGAGATTTCCTGGTTGCCTAGCCTCAAAGCTTTGGTTACAAAGCCACACAAGCTGTGGAAAGTGGAGGGCCTATTGGAAGATGCTGCTAACTTTGGAGCCCCTGAGAAACAGTGAGCAAGAGGCAGTAACAGGCTTGTCCACCCGGATCCCATGGGCCTTTCTTGGGAACCAAGCCTACTGGGCACAGCTTTTGGAACTTGCTAAGAAGACTTATCTATCATGCCAAGACCCCATATTTCCATCTATTGTTTAATAAGGGAAAGCACTTTTTGACTGAGCTATGATTAGGCTATGCCTACTATGATCTTATCCCATTCAGGGTTATTTTCTTTTACCTTTTTAAAAAATTTATTCAGTTTATGTATGTGAGTACACTGTTTCTCTCTTCAGACACACCAGAAGAGGACAACTGATTTCACTAAAGATGGTTTGTAAGCTAGCATGCAGTTGTTGGGAATTGAACTCAGGACTTTTAGAACACAAGTCAGTGCTCCTAATGGATTAGCTGTCTCTCCAGGCTTTTTCTCAATTCAAGGGTTTATTTCTTATGGCTTTATAGTATCCTGGGTGATCTCTTATATTATCATTAACTGGGAAGATAAAAATGTTTCTGCAATGAACTACACTTGTATGTGTGAACATGTGCTTCTGTGTGTTCAGGAATGTGTGTGTCTGTCTCTGTATGATTGTGTGTGTGTGTGTCCATAGATTGGCTGAAATGATGCAGCATCGTGTTGCTGTCACTGAGATGAGGTACTAGCACAGGATGGCAGAAGCCAAGGAGATTTCCTATACCAGTATAACTGTATTTTTGGGTCTCTGTCCTTCCACATGACTCTGCCTAAGTCAACTAGGAGTACCTAAGAATATTGTTCTGATCCAGTTTAAAAGAACTCCTTTCCATGAAACATTTGTGATCCCTCATGTTTCTTTCAATTGTGTTGTATTCTGTCTTCCCTTCTAAGCTCTGTGGTATGATTTGAGCCTATTTTTCCTTAAGTCACCCCACAAATAATACTACAGTAGCTATAAACATTGCAGGGGCATCGTTTTACCTAGATGAATGTTTCTGTTAGCGTTCATTGCTTACCCTTCAGAAGATTTGCATGTTGCTGACTATAGTATGTCTCCAGTGGGCATGGTTCCTGGCAGATAGTTTTTCTGGGGATTCCCATATGGAGGGGTTCATAAGTAAGAACCAAGGCAGGTTCCAACAATTCAGATACACTAAGACCCTTCACTTCAATGAAATCTAGTTTCCCTAGAACACTTCTTAAAATGTTCGATATATACATTGCTACACAGCTATTTTTCAATATAATATATATGGACCATTGGAGAAATGTGGTGTTTTATTTTAACTCCAGTACAGTGGGTAGTTCATAGTTCCCTTGCAAGCTATTTTTTAAATCTGAGAAAAAATTGCAGGTGCAGGTGCTCTCTGAACCTTCTTCTTTGGGGATACAGGGAATGACCTTAGCTGAATGGTCATACTGGATTCTCCTGCTCAATAAAGCTGGTGTTTGCTGGATAGCTGACTTGGCAGGTCCTCACCAGGCCTTTGTCTCTTCCTCATCTAGGTCTGAAATACTCCACCAAAAGCTCAAAGAGGGCACAGACCAGGCCAAGATCTCCCTCAGACACAACTCTTCACCAAGATCACTCAGTGTGCAAAGCAAGTGAACAACCATTGCATCTCATCCATATAACCTTGGCAATCTTGGACTGCATTTTCTTCCGTTCTTTCGGTTCATATATGTCACAAGGCCTTCATTGTGTCTAGCCTCTGGTCCAGGCAGAGTGAATGTTTGGAAGGCTTCAGTCACATGCTGAGGGACATCAAGATCTGCTAAAAATTCATGAGGAGCCTGAGAATGTAAATTTTTGCTTGTCCTGATGTGTCATCAAAGATATATTCATGAGGTTCAGTCAAGGGAATTTTAAGGATTTTCAGATACCACCACTAATATATTTCATGCTTTGCTTTGGGAGGACTTTCCCATCTCAAAACCACACCACAATGAGGCATGTACTCATTCACCTTGAAGAGATTACTACCAGCATTGACTGCCTTTGCACTATATTTCCAAGGCCAGCAACAGGCTGTAGGTCTGGCCTGCAAAATCTGCAGCTAAAGAATGTTTCTTAAGTTAGTAATTGTGTTTTGGATTTTGTTATAATTTTGATTATTTCAGTATATGGTTTCTTTGTTTACATTTGAAGTTTTGTTATTTGTTTATTATTTTTGTTACTGTAATTAATTTTTTGTTTTGTTAAATTTATATACTATATTCTTTGACTTCCCTACTTTAACATGGTATTGAATGAATTTAATGTATTCATATGAATGAAAACATAACCACTAATTTTTTCCTCATAAGAACCTCCTGTATTCATGTGTGGTTCACAGTCTTGTAACACTAAAGTATCAGGCAGGAATGGGGCTCTTCAAGTAGCATTTGGCTTAGACTTCATTATTGGTACCCAGTAAGACAATGTGACACAGAGAATTGGGCTTTTGATGTGGATAGTGAGTCACAACGAGTGGATCCCCATTTCATGATGAAAAAAGTATCCCTGCTGTATCTTTGTGGTCATGAATTTAACTATGTTAAAATGTACTACTATGTGAATGATCAAGTTGAACAAAGTAGGAACACAGGTGTATTTCTCAAATATGTGCCAAGAAATAAAAATATTCAATAAAGGAGTATAAAAGAAATCAGTAAATACAGCGCTCTATGCCTCTTGTTTTCTTGAAATATAACCTCACTTATAAATGCACAACAGAGATAATGGATTCCAAGACATTTTGGGAGATGTTGGTTATTTGTTTTTTTGTTTTGTTGGATTTTTTGTTGTTGTTCTTTGTTTTTTGCTTAGTTTTCTCTTTTGTTTTGTTCCTGTTGTTGTTCTAATGATAATGATGATTTCTTTTGCTCATGGAATCGACAATGTATTTGACAGTTTTTTAAAAGAATTATGTGAGGCGTTTTTTTCTGTTTTCTAATTATTTCTTTTATATGTAAGGGTGTTTTTCCTGCTGTAGATTTGTGTGCTACATGAATGCAAGTCCCAGAGGCCAGAAGAGGCCAGTGGATTCCACCTGGAACTTAAGTGACAGGGGATTGTTAATCCTTCTTTATGTCCTCTGAGATACAAATTCTCAAATGCCTAAGCCATCTACCAGTCCCTGCCTGGACTTTTGTCCTTCCTTGTGTGGTGTATTAGTTGCACTGGATGACCCCAATCAAAGAGAGAAGTTTCTTGAGACCTGTAGGATCACATACTTGGAGTGGGGAATGCTCAGTGTTTAAACTTTGAGGCTTCCATGTAGGGCATTATAGTGGGTTCCTGATCCTGCCTCAGGATCTCTTATTGTCAGGGTTGGAGCAGATCTCTCATGTCTCATCCTGCATGACAATGCAGATTAGGCTTTATCAGATGACTTGCAGAATTGAGAACTCTCCTAGGGGTGGAGGTGGTAAATAAATCATGTTGAAATGCCATCCAAACAGTGTTTAGAGTAAATTTCAGAGGAGCCCAGGGGGATGTAGCCTGCAACAGAGGACAGGACTGTGATGGTGAATATTTCAGTTCAAGACTAGCAAGGATGAGGGATGATAGATGTTGCCTGTATCTTTGCTCTACCTTCTGTCTTTACTCTGGAAAGTGACTGTGCTACCATTTCTCTCCTAGGTTCCTTAAATCTGAGGCTAAAACAACACACACACACACACACACACACACACACACACAGAGTATTGTTCTTTTACTGTTTGTCTTCTTGAGGTTGTGCTATCTCCTGCCTGGAAAAGGATGTCCTCATCAATTTCTTATCTCCACCTCTCCTGCCTGCCCTTAATGTGAGCATCTCAGTCAGTCACATCTTTCACCTGCTATATACCCCTGACCACCTACCTATAGAAGCAGACTGTGTGGCCACTTTGTTGATACTTCACATCGCTGCATTGTACTTCTCTCTCTAAAGCATGCTCCACTACCATTTCTCCACTTTTCCTCCAGGGACCTGGACCTTCTGCCCAGCAATGAGCCCATGGCTTTGTTTACTGACAGATCAAGAAACAATTGAGGACAGGACTTTAGCATCAGAAATGTCCCCTACAGGTAGATGCTCACTTTTAAGTTAGTAGATCTCACAGTATATTAGGAAATGTTTCTTCAGATGAGTAACTGATTATGGTAAAGCTCCCTGAATCATATAACTTCTGAAACTGTGGAGGAAGTAATCCTCTGGGTCTCCAGACCGGTGTTGTCAAACCAAGAGGAAATAGTATCAACTCTTTGTGAGTGATGTACAGATATACGCACAGCACATCATTATAGATACAGAGCTTCCTCAGTTCCATGACTGAGGTGACCAGGAGGTTTGCTGTCTCAACAAGTAAAGTCCTTTACTCTCCAAAACTGAGCTCCTTCCAAAAAGCCTCCATGGTTGAACGAAAGAAGAAACTTCCCACACATTATCCTCTGATTTTTCTGTTGTTAATAGTGCAATGTGTTACCCTCCACTCCAAACTTTCAGTACTTTGCTGTTAAGTATCTTAATTGCACTAATTTCTTTAATAATTACCATTTGGTCTTAATCTTCAAGTTTTCTCACACACTTTTCACCATAATTTTGTTCTACAGTTTACCTCTAATCTCACTGTAAATCACTTTAAATGTGGTAAAAACACATCATTTCATTCTGTCTCAGAATTTCATCTGCCCTGTTAATTCATCTTTTATTTTTGTATATAGCTTCACTTACAATGTAAAATGGAAAGAAGAATGCAGACATATTTTTCTTTCTTTTTCTATTTTTCTTTTATTGAAAATAGATTTTCTAGTACAATACATCCAGATTATGGTTTCCTCTCCTGCAACTCTTCTAAGATCCTCTCTCCTTCACTTTCTATCTGAATTCACATCCTTTCAAATCTCTCCTAGACAACAAATAGCCATTTAGATAATATTGATCAACCAGCCTGCCTATATCTTAGGATTGAAAACAATTTCATAGTAAAGAAAAAATTATGTTCATTGCTGTATAGGATTAAACATGTTTCTCAAGGATTGGGTTACATACCACCAATCATCCTAACTGAAATGGTTCTGTACTGCCTGTTTCAGAATGGAAAAATGCCTTTGCTTGTCATAAAGATAATCATGATCACCTGTGTCGATCATCACCTGTCATATCCACTTTGTCATGGTGCTGACATTGCGTCCATGTTTTTGTCTCAGGTGGTTTCATAATCAACTTGTAGTGTTTAGGTTCTGCTTCTGTAACAACATTCAATTGCCTGGATGTCACTAGGAAGACTATTTTCTAAACACAGGCAGAAATGTGGAGGCAGAAAGTGTAGTATAAGCTACGGAGAAACATTGCTTACTGGCATGCTCCTCCTGGAACCTACTTTCTTATACAACTCAGAACCATGCCTAGGGTTGCAACTCCCACAGTGGACTGGACCCACTCTTATCAATAATTAATCAGGAAACAGTCCAATAAAGTTGCCTATAGGCCACCTTTATGGAGGCATTTTCTCAGTTGAGGGTCTCTATTCCCAATTGGTTCTAGCTTATGTTAAGTTGATGATAAACTAGCCAGTATATTTAACAATGACAAATATACCCTGAGAAAGAAATGAAGGAAACAATGGCATTCACAGCAGCCTAAAAAAGCAAATGATATTTTGGAGTAAACCTAAAGATGTACATAAAAGACATCTAAACTGAAAGTTAAAAGACTGAAGAAATTGAAGATGACACTAGAGGGTACAAAGATCTCCCACGACCACAGATGAGTAAGATTAATATTATGAAAATGACCATTCTATCAAATTAATCTATAAACTAAATGTAATATCTATTAGATGCCAATTTTTATTCATGACAGAATGATAAAACAATTTTAAAATTCACGTTGAAGCACAAAAGACATGGCTATCCAAAGCAGTTCCCCAAAATAAGAACACTGTTGAAGATAACTCAGTGTCTGAGTTCAAGTTATGCCACATGAAATAAAACATGGTACTGTGACAAAATTAGATTCGAAGTACAAGGAACCAGAATGGATGGCCCACTCGAATGGAAGTTCACACACCTATAGCTTTTTGAGTTTTCTACAGAGTGACCTAAAAGACACATCAGAGAAAACAAGAAACTGTGCTTGGAAAACTGGGCCTACATAGAAAAATGAAATTTAATCTTTATCTTTCACCCTCCTTAAAAATTTCAAATGCACCAAAATCTCAGTGTTAGACGAGAAATTCTGAGATTGCTGTAAGATGATATAGGGGTCTGTCTCTAGACAAAGGCATTGCTAGGAACTTTCTGTAGGACTCCAGTCTCTCAGAGTAAGGCTCATAATTGAGTGATCATCCCTTGAGAAATTAAAAATATCCTATAATGTAAATGGGGCGGTTTGAATAAAAATAGTCCTTAACAGTTTGTTTACTTGAATGCTTGGTACCTACTTCATGGAAATTCTCTAGAAAGCACAAGGAGATATGGCCTTGCTGGAGGAGGTGTGTCACTGTAGGTGTGGTTAGGGTTTCAAAAGCTCATGCCAAGCCCTGTCTGTCTCTGAGCCTCTCTCTCTCTCTCTCTCTCTCTCTCTCTCTCTCTCTCTCTCTCTC